AACGATCCTGACAAAGAAGGTGACGGAACGCAGCATTACCTTGATAAATTAATTTTGTAGTCAAACGTGAGAAGACAAAGGACAGTGTTCTTTAGAAGACAGCGGAAAACATAGAGAGAACCAGATAAAAACACTGTGAGGAACAAAAGACCGCCTCGCAACGACACGAAAGGGAAGACGCCCTGTTCCACTCGCTTCATCTCTGCTTCGCTCGTCTGCTGCAGTAGGTTACAACCAGAATAAAATTTGATTATTGCTATAAGTAGCATGTTGGTTCTATATCGTGGGCGACGATCTGGCAAGAAGTTGCAACTTAAGAACCAAACTGGCATCTGGTCTACGCCACAAGGCTAAACTATTAAACTGACAGGAATCGAACTTGTATACCCTTTTTTTTCCCCCAAAGAAACCTATCCTATAGCTGGAGTGAGTCGCTACCACTTCGGCCACGTGGCAGTTCAAATCCATTTTCATCTGACTCTAATACGGTTGTATTGTGCGCTTTGAGTAAAGTTAGCCTGTACCAAATATGTTTATTTTTTTGTCTTAAGCGGTCCTGTCAGTTTAATTCACTAAATCTAGAATTTTTACTTGTTTGTTCCAAACTCATTTATTGAGTTCTGCAAAGCTTTCAGAGTTTCTGATGGATTCAGCATCTCAAACAATTTTGTTTTGTTTTGTTCCTGCGAAGAATTTTGATGAGACGTCCAGACTTAGACATAAACTCGGTTTTATGATGCCACCTGCGTCTTCGAAGAAAGTTTTACGGTACTCAAAGGTAAATTGAAGACCTTGGTAAGTTTTATAACCAGTGCTTTCATTGTGCCTTTAATAATACAACCTCTAAGTTGAGTAGATTTTCGTCATAGGATTGTTAAAATCCTCACAGATTGTCGAGGCAAGCCAGACTAAAGGTGGAAGGTAGAGAAAGCAAACACTTACATTAATTGCCAAAAAAAAAAAAAAATATATATATATATTTATTTGAAAATTTTGCATACTGAAAGTTCGAGCACAAAATTAAATCGAGTGGAAAACAGTAGTAAAATAGAACTCCGGTCTTCAGGAAATAATAATAATAATAATAATAATAATGAAGGAAGGAAGGAAGGAAGGAAGAAAGAAAGAAAGAAAGAAAGAAAGAAAGAAAGAAAGAAAGAAACAGTAAAAAATTGGTCTGAAAATCACCAAGACCTGGTTACAGAGATAGGACCTTTAACAATTTTATGGGACTTTACAATACACACAGACAGAACAAACAAAGTTAATCGCCCAGAGATCGTGATAAAAAACCACAAGAACAGACCATTCTTTCTTATTGAAATGGCGGTTCCTGTAGATTGTAATGTATCTTTGAAGATCTAAAAAAACAAAAAAAAACTATCAAAATATAATGATTTTTAAGTGGAAATCTCAAAGAAATGTGGCACATGAAGACATCAGTAGTTCCAGTTGTGGTTGGAGCACTCGGTTTGAAAAAAAAAAGGTTCTGATAGACACATTGAAGGGATCCCTGTTAGCCCAAGCCTGAAAGAAATACAAAAAAATTGTTCTCACAAATACAGTTCACACCATATGAAGAGCTTCATCTATATAAAATAGATGTGACCTTAGGTTGTTTTATTTTTAATTATTTTTTTTACAGATATGTTCAGTGAAGTTGTCATAATAGCATTTTTGACCTTAGATCTCTGATTGGTACCCGGAAGGAAATGAGTATTGAACAGAAATCAAAGGAAATAATAATAATAATAATAACAATAATAAAGTGCCTGCTTATTTATATGGCAGTCCCAGTGCATCCTTATTGATATGGCAGTCTCTGTAGACTGCAATGTATCTTTGAGGACCTTCAAAAAGCTATCAAAATACAAGGACCTTGAAATAGAAATCTCAAAAATGTGGCATATGGGAACATCAACAATTCCTGTTGTAGTTGGAGCCCTCAGATTGATTGGAAAAGATTCCAATAAACTCATTGAAAGGATTCCTGGTAGCACAAGCCTTAAAGAAATATTAAAATTGTTCTCTCGAGTACAGCCCACACCTTACAAAGGGCTTTATCTATGTAAAATATATTTGTGTGTGTATGTGTGTGTGTTTTGTATTTTTTAATTGGTCAGTGGAAAGTGTCATGATGCCATTTCAAACCTTATGTCTCTGGGCCGGACACGGAAAGAAATGTGTACACACCAGAAATCAAAGGAAATAAAATAATAATAATAATAATAACGAAGCGAAAATAGAGGAACCAAGTCTTGGCAGAGCAAGTCAGAAAAATATACCAAGAAGCAGTTGAAGTTATCCATTTTCTGGTAGGCACTCTCGGGACTATTTCCAGGAATATTTCTGCCTCATAGAACTCTTTGAGGATACCTGACATGAATGGAAGTGCGCAAGTGGCAACACTGCTTGGAACAGCTTATGTGCCGAGGAAAGTGTTTTAAATCTTTTAAATTTCGAGATGGATTATTCCATGCATATAAAAAAGAAAGTCCTCTCGACCTAATGGAGCACGCTGCTTACTAAAGAACGTAATGTACTATAGGCGTGGTGGGGATGTAACAGGGTGGCCTCGCCGTTTTGCAGCGTGAGAATCCCTAGTGACGATTTGAAGCCGGAAATAATTATGATTAAACTGGAAGAAACTAATTAAACGTCAAGGAGAAAAAGGAAAGAAAGAACGAACTAAAAAGAATAACTGTTGCCATATATGGGCTGGTGACCCCCCTTTTCATCTCGAGGTCCTAGACAAAGTACAGAGACGGATATGCAATGTCAAAGGCCCTGATTTGGCATCTCGTCTAGAGTCTATATTATTTTTATATTTTCATAGTGTTTTGTTTTATTGGAGAGGGGTCACTATTTCTCTATAGCTGGAACGCTAACAGGTGCTACCACCCCCGGATCAGGGTGGACATGTGAACAACAGCAATTAATAGGTGGTTCCAATTTATGCAGGTGAGGTCCATTTAAAAATGAGAGGCATGTGACGAATTTAAAAATGGCCAAAAGAGAGGCCCGAACAGTCATAAAATATCTGAATATGAGTCAGTCGTTCAAGTCTGAACCGACTGTTCGGTTGTACTCTCTTCCTACGGACGGAAGGGGCCCGAAGGAGGCTACGCCGAAGGGCGGAGTCTTCTTCGGGGAGGTAGACCGGCCCTGAACCCGTTTATACGGGTTCAATAGACATATTTTTGGCCGAGCCGGAATGCCTACGTTAAAAAGGCTGTGTGCCACATGACAGCCTCGTGGGGGTGACTGAATATCGTCATAAAATATCTGAAAAAGAAAGGTATGACACCCGATGAAATCAATGAGGACTTAGTACAGACACTTACTGAGGACTCCTCTTCCTATGCAACTGTAAAGAATTGGAATTCAAAGGGAACAGGGTCAGCACAGAAGATGGCCCTCAGTCAGGTCATCCAAAAAATCAACCTTTGATGACCAAGTCGATGTCATTCACCGTATGGTTTTGGATGACAAACGTCTTGCTGTCCAGCAGATAGCTACGTCCATAGGCATTAGTTCTGATTTGGTCCATACTGTTTTAACTGAGATCTTGCGGATGGTCAAGCTGTCTTCAAGATGGGTTCCAAGAATGCTGACACCAGAACAGAAGCTGAAAAGGGTTGACATTTTCAGGACACTTCTGATTCGTTTCCAGTGTTACAGTTTTTTTGGGTATATGCTGTATATAACTAGTGAGAAAGTCAAAATGACTTATTTCCCTTTATAGTCGACCAATAGAAGGTTGACCAATCAGAAGCCGCACAACACTGTATCCGTCGTGTATAAAGGTTGCCATCTTTGTTTTCTTACTGGAATGACCAGAGGCAACTTTTCCGGCGAACAGGACAGACGGAAGAACTACGCTCTGCTACCTTGCTGCGATATCCACTGCGAACCTGCACTACGCTTTCCTACTGTCTCCGAAATATTCACTGCCAACCTCTGGATTCTATACTCGAAGACGGCCGTCGTGAAAATGTCTAACATCCAGGATGACTGTAAGACTTTCCACTGCAGGTTAGTAACACGAGATGAAACACAGGTTTATCAATTGGAATCTGACTTAAAGATTCGAAGCAAACAGTGGAAATACTCTGGTTCTCCACCCACGAAGAAGTTCAAGCAGGCAGCATGTACTGGCAGGGTGATGTCTTCTGTTTTTTTTTTTAAATTCTGAAAGTGTAATCATGATAGAATACTTAGAAAGAGGAAAAAAATGGTCAGTACTATACATCAGAATTAAGACAACTGAAGGAAGCAATGAAGTCGAAACGCAGATGGAAGCTGAGGTCAGTAGTGTTCTTGACCCAGGATAACGCGCCCGTTAACACCGCTCAGGTTGTAGTAGATGAACCAACCAACTGTGGCTTTGAATTGATACTCCTTCCCCTTATTCACCAGATTTAGCTCCATGTAAATTCTTCCTGTTTCCTAAACTCAATTCCCACCTGCGTGGTCACCATTTTGGAAACAATGTTGTGCTGTGGAGGATTTTTTGGAGGATCAGGATGCTTCCTTCTTCCGTGATCGGATTGCAATGCTTAAGCATCGTTGGACCAAGTGTATCGGTGTCAAGTGAGACTATATTGAAAAATTATGAAAAACATGATTCTCCAACTCCATCTGGGTGAGGCTTTTTGAACAACACTCATAATGTTTCTTTTAGCCGATGAAGTTGCTGACAATAAAAGATAGCGATGGTCCTTCTATGCTCTAATTGTTCGTAATGGACGATACCTTTCATATTCCATAAGACACAAAGCAAGAACCTCTGTGTACAAAGTCTTGTTTGTTGATGTGATCACTTGTTTCTCTATTTTTGATAACCAATGATTATCATTGACTTCAAAACCTATTTTCATTACTTGTAGCAATGTAATTCAAAAATGGCTGATTGGCATTCTTAGTTAAATGATTGACACGTAACCTTCTCTCTGGAGTGCCATCTTTGCTGACATTTTTTTAACCTGAACTCACCACTAATGCAAGATGTGGTAAGATCTTATTTTACTGCACTCCAAATAGTTATTTGTTTATCTACTGATCAGTCTGATAGAGTCTTGATTATGATGATTACATTTCTTGTTCCAGTGTTTCGAGAAAAAAATAACACGCCACGTTGTTCTTGACATATTACAATAGGATTTTTATCATTATTTCTATTTAATTGAGGAAGCTGTGTGTTTGGTGGAGTTTGTGTTATTTCGTACGTGGTTTCTTTGGTATTGCTGTGAAGATTGATCGACGGGGGGCACTTCGTTATTTCAACCTAATCATATGTTTGGGATATCATTTCAATAACCTTATCAACCCCCATATCACCTAAAGCTGTCAACATCTCCATGCCAATTTCATCTGGTACAGCTGTTTTGTGTCTCTTTACGATGGCCAGTGCACGCCGTACAAATTATTTCATTTGTTGCCGTTTCTTCGTCGAAAATATCCACAAAAGAGTACTATATCTGAAATAGACTCGCACACATGGTAACTTCGATACAAATTTAAAAAACAGTTCTTCCTATTCGTATAATACACCGCTGTTTATACACATTCTTTTTTTTTAATTAGCATCAGGTATCAGAAAGAGACAGTAGGTTTGGTTTGGTTTGTTTTAAGGCATATCAGTAACAATGGGTTATTTAATTCTGACAAGATTTTTATTGCGGGTAATATTTTTTTTAAAAATGTATTACTGGTAACATTTTTTCAAAAAATGTACTGCTGGTAATATTTTTTCAAAAATATATTACTGGTAACATTTTTTCAAAAAATGTACTGCTGGTAATATTTTTTCAAAAATGTATTGCTGATAATATTTTTTTCAAAAATGTACTGCTGGTAATTATTTTTTCAAAAATGTATTGCTGGGAATATTTTTTCAAAAATGTATTACAGGTAAAATTTTTTCAAAAAATGTACTGCTGGTAATATTTTTTCAAAAATGTATTCCTGATAATATTTTTCAAAAATGTACTGCTGGTAATATTTTTTTAAGAATGTATTTCTGATAATGTTTTTTTCAAAAATGTACTGATGGTAATATTTTTTCAAAAATGTATTTCTGATAATGTTTTTTTCAAAAATGTACTGATGGTAATATTTTTTCAAAAAATGTATTACTGGTAACATTTAAAAAATGTACTGATGGTAATATTTTTTCAAAAATATATTGGTGATAATATTTTTTTTCAAAAATGTACTGGTAATATATTTTCAAAAATATATTGCTGATAATACTTTTTTCAAAAATGTACAGCTGGTAATATTTTTTCAAAAATGTATTACTGGTAACATTTTTAAAAAAAATATACTCCTGGTAATATTTTTTAAGTATGTATTCCTGGTAACATGTTTTTCAGAAATGTATTGCTGGTAATTATGTATTTCTGGTAATAATTTTTTCCTTCAAAAATTCACTTTTAGTAATATTTTATATAAAAATGTATTTCTTGTATTAATATCTATTTTTACACTTTCATAGTGTTTTGATCTCAGTTTGGGGTTAACTATTTGCCATTAGCTGTGACCTTGACAGATGCTACCATCCTGGGTCAGAGTGAACCTAAGAATACCAGCAATTAAGAGGTGGTTTTACGCTCTCAAAAACCACCTGATCAGAGGCCTTGCTGTTGGACGTAGTTTATCGTCTTACCCAGGACGCGGATCTAGTTTATCGCCTTACCTAAGACGCAAAACAGACAGTTGGGATTTCTGGGACACATTGAAAAAAAAAGATCTTTGTAGAATTGGATACATAGAGGACATACTGACTGCAAGAGCGGAACTTCGTTTCACTTATCTAAAGATGTTATGTCAATGGATGGCACGAAATGGCCTGGCAGTGATATAAAAGGAGTTATTAGTAAAAAAACGCACTCTCTTTAATTTATAAAAAAATCAACCTTAGCGTTGCGACTGCACGTTCCAAAAGTTAGTATCCGTTATCAATAAGACATCTAAAAAAAATATTTCGATTCGCATTATATTTTTTCGTCTCGGATGCTACCTGAATTTTACCAAAATAATTTCCATGCCTGAAGATGACTGAATGTACACTCGAAAGTTAAAGAAAGACCTTATACAGCGTTTAATATTTAAAAACAAGGATCATGGCATTCATCGAGTGATTTGTAGGTTAATACACCTTTAAAATTTTGTTAGCGAAGTGATTTCGCCATTTTATATCGTTCACTTTACTAATCTACCTTTTGTATGAATGATTTATTGTAGTCTGTCTATATTTCTGAGATACATGGTACAGTGGATAAAGGCGTTGGTTAGATCCAGTGACAGATCCAATGAGTGTGAGTTCAATGTCCGGTTAAGGCAGTGGAGAACTTTCTGAGGGAAAATTAGCAGGAGATAACTGATAACTGACATCCATCAAACATGGCACGTGGAACTAGAACAGTCTACCCCAGTGATCGAAATAAAGGGTTCAGTTCGAAATTCCAACCACCTGAAGACGGCCGGAGCGTACAACGGCTGAAACGTTGTGACAAATATGGCGACAAAGATGAGGACAATAGTCCGACTAATGTAAATACTGTATGATTCATTGTAATATATATATATATATATATATATATATATATATATATATATATATATATATACAAACACTAAACAGAGACACATCCCCTCACCAGGTCCAATAAAACTGTCAAACTGACCAGAGAATTTAGGATAAAATGTATCTATCCAGTTCTTATCTCAAATAACAACTTAAAAGAGACTGTTTGACCAACACAAGGAATGTTAAAAGATTCATGTGAAAAAGATAAAAAAATAAAAAAACAAATGAAAACTACAGACAAAAGTTCATTTTCTCCATCAAGACATTCATTTCTGTAGTTCAGTGCTAACAGCAAGCAGAAATATTTCTTCTCCCGATGATGGCCATTTTGGTCGAAACTAGTCGAGAAATCTAAATGGAATAATAATAATAATAAAAAAAACGAAAGAATATTAATCTACAACCCAGTGTGTCTAATGATTTTAATTTTTTATTTTCTTATTGTTCAATATATATATATATATATATATATATATATATATATATATATATATATATATATATATACAATGGGCTTTTTTCAAAACCTCAGGGGAATAACGTGGTGACAATGATGCACGGTACTAGCGGAGGTTAAAGATAACAGGAAGGTCAGTTGTTGAGAACATTGATAAATTCAAAATGATCACGAGATGTATCATTGAGATAAGTATATTTATTTGCTTTCGTTTCTCAATAATTTTCAACCGTTTGGGACTGTCAACGAGACACAGCGTTTTCGTTTTTGTGTCCGTGACCTGATTTAAATTTTTTTTTTTTATAATTTTAAGTATCACTGTTGTCACGTGAAAGCCGAAGATATCGACCGACATTTTTTTCAAATCTCTTTTGTTTATGGCTTGTTTTCTTTCGTATATATATATATAAAAAAAAAAAACAAAAACAAAAAATCACGGTTCGTCATTGATTTCTTCATTTTATCTATTATGACATTTTTTTCTTTCTTTCTTTTTGTCTTATTTATTCGAATTCTGACTTCCTTCTTTTCTTTTTTTTTCTCGAAGTCATTCAGTAATGTATTCTTTTTACTTGCATCTGTCTCTAATTTCAATCATTTTTTATTTACGTAGAGGCATCAATAAATCCTTTTATTTCTTTTCTTCATGTTGTAACCTAGAAAAGGTTACTGAATGAGGAATAACCAAAACGGAGATTGGAAATGATATGGTAATCTTTATAACATCAACAAAATACAATACTCGCCAGCGGCGTGAAATAGGTGAACCACTGCTAGTGGTGGACTACTTAGACACCATATTACCCCCACTTACAATTATGTCCACGTATTTATGAGGTTTGGGACACACCCATTAGTGTTCATAAGCACGCTATATAGCAATTCACTACGTTCTGCAGGAGTTTTTGCAGTTTCCTTTCTGGATCTACGATCAACACTGTCATTTGCATATCTTACTTCGTTGAGATTGTGGCGGCCATTAATGAATCCCAGTGTGACTTCTAATTTTATTTTTTTTCTATTCTTTTTTTACGGCTTATCTCAGAATCAATTAAATGTATAGGTTGGACAAGTCCGGCGAGAAGGTTCATCCTTGTCTTAGGGCCTTTTCTTTTTCTGTGTATTTACTAAATTCGTTTTCTATACTCATGCAGGTGTTTTGTTTCCAGTATAAATCCTGGATTGTTCTAATATCCTTCACAAATAAATGAATCCTACCTTGTTCTGTATAGGTTGCTTATGTCCGTTGAGAAGATACAACCTTTGTCTTACACCCCTTTCTATTTTTGTGTATTTACTGTTCGACTTCTGTTAAAACGCTTCCCGGATATCGAAATTATTGCACTTGTTTTCGGTATCTCCAATTTGCAATTTTTTGTTGGCCTGTCCCTATTGCTAATAAACGTGCATACAGTCGTCTTGCTATAAATGTTTAGTCCTTTCTTCTCGCTTTCCTTCTACTGCAGTTCTTGTAGTTTCCTGTAGTTGGCTATCTACACTGTGTCCTTTAAATATCTGATGTTGTTAAGACCGTTGTCGGCAATAATGAATCCTGGTAGGACATCTAATTTTTTTTTTCTATTTGTTCTCTACAGGTTTGCAGGCTATTCAAAGCCAGAAAGTATTTTTAGATTGTAACAATTTTTTGTGGGGGAGATAGTAATGATTTAAGTGATACAGAAGTTGGGGTGAAGAGGTGTGCTCATTACCTTTCCCAAGCGTATTTGTGCGTAAGTGAATATAACGAACCCAACTGGAAATGGAACTCAGCATCCTGAATAAATATTTTGAGCCATTATCTAGTACACCACCCCCATAAGCAAGCTAACGGTACCAGGTATTCCCAAGGGGTCACCCATTTAGGTACTGACCAGGCTCGGCATTGCTTAACTTCGGTGATCTTATGGGAATCGATGTTTCTACGTGGTGTGACCGTAAGTCTCACCCAAAAAGTAGGGGCATCTACACCCTTGTGCAAAGTAATTGATACAAAACGAATAATTCAGTTGTTTAATTTTTTTTTCGTATTTTTCCAATGAAACATGGCCCAGTGCGCATATTAGTATTTCGTATATCCATTCCACGGAGTCGTTCCTTGCAGAATGACCACAGATTCTCGATTGGATTTAAATAAGGAGAGTTTAAAGCCAGTCTATAGAACTTTGATTTTCTTACGGGTAAGGCTTTCCATTGTGTTCGTGCAGCGTTAAAATTTTAAATACGATTCTTTGCAGTAACGGCCATCGCAGTCAATGGCCGCGGGACAACTAATCGATAGTCGAAACAATAGTGCCTAGGCGGGATGAAAATCTGATGCAATCATGGATGATGCAATATTTTTCAAGGCCAAACAAATTTCATCATACACTCCGAAAATAGATTCATATTATTGCACACGACCTAATCCGAGGAAAAAGTAGAAAATCAATTACACCTTGTCACTCTAGACATATGGTGAAAGAAATTAATTTGCACGAAGGTGTATCTACAATAACTTTTCAAACTTCACTTTACTTACAATCTGTTTTTGACACCAGGGGTATATTGAAAATTTGAGCTTTCGCAATGGGCTAGACGCCAGGGGTATATTTCGGCTTGTAAGAAATGAATATTGCATTAACAATTTTTTGAAGATAACAATGATTTTTCCTATTTTTTAACCCATCGCTGGGGGAGGAGAGAGGTTCATACCTTTTTCAAGAGTATTTGTGGGTCTCATCGTTTACTGTTGAAATGGCTAGAGGTAAACGTAAGTTCTATGCTAACAGTTTATTCTCTCGCACCTCTTGCTTGTGGAACTTTCTTCCGTCTTCTTAGACAACTTTGATCTTCAAAAATGTAAATTCAGTGTCAGTTGTTATCGTCCGTTTTCTTCATTCCTGTTCTTGTATTGTTCTTTCTCGTAAATGTTGTTTTTTTCTCTTCATATTGTCACAGACTTCGCAGAGCTGGACACCAAACCGCTAACCCGCTGATCGTTGATTAACGAAGTTGTCATTTTCTTTGGCGATTTGGTTTGATTTGGTTCGGTTTACGGTATATCAGCCACGATGGGTTATTTAATGCCGACAAGATTTTTATTGCTGGTAATATTTTTATCTATCTATCTATCTATCTATCTATCTATCTATCTATCTATCTATCTCAGTATATATTGGTTTGGTTTGGTGTGTTTTACGGTATATCAACCTCAATGTGTTATTTATTGATGACAAGATTTTTATTGCTGGTAATATTTTTTATCTATCTATCTATCGATCTATCTATCTATTGGTTTGGTTTTTGCCGACAAGATTTTTATTGATGGTAATATTTTTTTATCTATCTATCTATCTATCTATCTATCTATCTATCTATCTATTGGTTTGGTTTTTGCCAACAAGATTTTTATTGCTGGTAATATTTTTTATCTATCTATCTATCTATCTATCTATCTATCTATCTATCTATCTATCTATCTATCTATCTATCTATCTATTGGTTTGGTTTGGTTTGGCTTGTTTTACGGTATATTAACCTCAATGGGTTATTTAATGCCGACAAGATTTTTATTGCTGGTAATATCTATCTATCTATCTATCTATCTATCTATCTATCTATCTATCTATCTATCTATCTATTGGTTTGGTTTTTGCCGACAAGACTTTTATTGCTGGTAATATTTTTTATCTATCTATCTATCTATCTATCTATCTATCTATCTATCTATCTATCTATCTATCTATCTATCTATTGGTTTGGTTTGTTTTGATTTGTTTTACGGTATATCAACCTCAGTGGGTTATTTAATGCCGACAAGATTTTTATTGCTGGTAATATTTTTTTCCAAAAATGTATTACTGGTAATATTTTTTCCAAAAAAAAAATGTTGGTAATAAGGTATTGCTGATAATCTTTTCTTCAAAATTTCATTGCTGGTAATAATATTTTACAAAAATATATTGCTGGTGATAAAACCTATTTACACACGTTTTGAACCCAGTTTGAGGATTAACTATTTGCCCATAGCGGGGACCCTAACAGTTGCTACCACCCTCGGGTCAGGGTGGACCTTGGAACACCAGCAATTAAGAGGTAGTTCCATGTTCAGAGGCGTTGCTGTCGGATATAGTCAATCGTTTTACCCAGGACACGGATGTAGCTCATTATCATAATGAATTTCACTTTTATGTTGACTTTGAGCGCCATCACAGGTAGGCACCGTTAATCAAAAAATAAATTTCGTTAACTGTTGATCTGCTTAAAAATGTAATGGAAGTTATCGATAAACCGTTAACGCGAAATTCTGAGCCTGTTCCTGCTGAGGTCTAGTGGCACTGGCAGTTATAACTTCGACGACATCAACAGATCCAAGTTCGTGAGATGCCATGATGACGTTCAAATCTGTCTTGGGAGTTGAAAATGTTTACTTCGTTAATTAAAGGATTAACAGTTTGGTGTCCAGCTCTGAAACTTAGTAACCCCTTGCATCTTAGTAGCTTCATTGCTTTGCTTGAGGTGAAATGATAAAAAAGTCAACAACAGGTGACTATGACGAACTCAACCTGAATGAGAACTTGGGGAGCCGAGTTTTAATTCTGAACCGTTACCTTTTACACCAACCGCACATTTTTCTTACTCGCGAATCATCATCATTGTAGAGAAGTATTATTTTTGATGATTACATATTTTTATGACCTGTTCTCAAATATCTGATGCACCCTATAATAATGCCAGACGTTCCATTCCTATATCAATAAGACAAAATAAAGAAATAAACGTTTGGGAAAATTTAATCATCCAGTTTCCTATTTTCAAAGGACATTTTTCTGCAGGAGAATAATTTATTGAGTATATGTTAGTGCAATTTGAAGCGCACTCTGGTATGGCAAATTGTAACGACTACCTAACTCAAGGGCGATAACTGCTCTCTTGTTCGCTATATCGCCTGTTTTTATCTGTTATTTAATCGAAGTCAATAAGCCACCATTCTCTTGAGAATCCCTTACAGAACGCTGTAGTCAAATCGAATGGAAAGAAAGAAATCAAAATTGCCATTGCCGAAAGTTATATATACATATTCCAACGTCCAATATCTAATTTTCTTTTTCTTTACAGAATTATTTTTTTTACTTCACTCGCAATTTGAATGATTGTATCCACGAAAGTATGTTAAGAATTTTAAAAAATCAAGCTACGCCGGTAATAAAATTGTTTTTGCTAATGCGACTTTGGTATTGAGGGCTTACAGCTGTGTCACGTTGAAACACCGGTTCACGTACCATCACCGCAGTTAAGCAATGCCGAACCTGGTCAGTACCTGGATGGTTGACCGCTTGGGAATACCAGGTGTTGTAAGCTTGGATTTGCTGGTTGTGTAATGGATAATGGCTCGGATGTGTTAATCGGAGAGCCGAGTTTCAATTCTTGCTGGGTTCTTCGTTACACTCCCTTGCGCACACACCCTTGGGAAAGGCATGAACTCACATCTTTTTTTACTCCAAGCTATGGGTCAATTAATAAGGTTTGTATCACTAAAACCATTATTTATACAAATCTCATTAATTAACTTAAACCATTATTCCTGATGGCGTGTCATCTTTACGTGGTAGGACGACTTGTGGGCTTCAGATCATTGTGGACGGGTCCTTTGGCTCTTAGCATGTACAATCAAGCTCAACAGGTCTGTGGGGTAGGAACTAGATGAAAGAGACATTCTGGTTCTCCAGGTTGGGGGTTGTGCAGTAGGCTAGCAAATTACTCACTTAAAAACTCGCTTGATACAACGATATCTTCAAACAACGACATGGCCGAGGAAGAGTTTTCCAAAGTGTAGCGTATGACGCGTGCTGCTGAAAATCGTCCGGGAAGGCAGCCGGCACGACATGGGTCGAGCTAAAGAGGATCCCCCGGAATCGCATCCGTTCGAGAGGTGTTGTTGTCGTCATATGTTCTCCCCCCCCCCAAGGAATTAAGAGACATAATAAAAAATGAATGAAAACTATTATTATCTCCCCTCAGAATATTTAAACTTCGTTATTAAATAACACATAGAGGTTAATATGTATCTAAAAAAAAACAAACAAATTCTTGGTATCAATCTGTTAACTCTAAAGCATTCCCGCCTTTTTATTGGATAGAAGCCTTGACAATTTATAAAAAAAAAAAAACTCCATACACATGCTCCAGAAAAATAAATCGAATATAAAAATGACAAAACATTAATTTACCAATTATAATGGTAATGGTGAAATTATCCGTTTCTGTACATGAAATATTCGAAGTTCAGTGTCCGAACAGTTAGTGTTACTGTGGCTTTTAAATTTAGACAATTTGTTTTTTTTTATAAAAAAACAGAATTTAAGAAAAATTAAACTTTTCAAGCCCTCTATCTGATGTAACCAAGGAAAGGTTACTGAACAGAATACTCAAACGAAGTTTGGTAATGAACGATAATACTTAGGACAAGAAAAACACATATAAGATTCGCCAGCAGCGCGTAGAAGTAGTCCACTAATAGAAGTGCGTCAAGTGAATTTCACAATGAATCGCCAACTGCAGGGTATCTGCCAACCGCCCCACACGATCAGATGTGGCACAAGGCAGAATTTAATGTGGGGTATACGAGCCCGTAGGCTCGACCAAAAATTCCCCTAAGACCCCATATAAAACAGGGTCGAGTAGCTGTTTCCCAAGACGAGACGCTGCCCTTCGACATAGCCTCTTCTGGGGATCTTCTCTGCTCGGAGGCGGAAAGTTTGACCAGCACAGTTGGAGACGAATCTCCAACTGCAGGATCTACCCAAGCGGTCAGATGTAGCACAAGGCCGAATTTAATGTGGGGTATATGAGCCCATAGGCTCGGATAAAAATACCCCTTAGGTCCTGTATGCTACAACACTATCCTAGTTAGCTCTTTCTATTATTGAAGTGAGATTCCTTCTATATCATTTGTTTATGTTATTGTGGAATATTCCCAGTTTGATTATATCTTTATTTTCCCTTCTACGAGGTGTGTTCAAAAAGTATCGGGACTCTTGCTAAAAAAATAAAACTACAACATATATCCATTCGTCATTCAATCTCCTTCGAAGTAGTTCGCTTTTGAAGCCATAGCCTTTACCCAGCGATGGAAGGATTCCTGGAATTCTTTTTCGGGGACAGCGAGCAGTTGCCTCGTCGCATTCTCTTGGATTTTTTCGACATCTTGAAATATTGGGATTTGATTTTGGAAAGAGGAATAAGTCGCAGGGGGTCGAGACCTTGGGTATATGTTGGTTATCGGACCTGGGGAATGTTTGTTCTTGGTTGAAGAATGCTGTACAGGTTATGGTCACTGATGGAACTTCCATGGCGTGGTGAGACGACCTCACTCTACACACTTTCCTTCCAAACGCTGCTATAAAGAAAGGGAGTGAATGAGAACTTTATAACTTTGTGTATATGCGCATTCAAGTAAATCTTCTGGTACTGTCTGAATAGACCTCGTAGTTACATGTGCTACTGACTTCTGTTGTTACTGCTGTTGGAAGTCTATAGATGCGGTTTTTGTTATTTGATAAAATTCTTTCCAATTTTCTAGTGCCCTTCAGTAGAATTAAAAGATTAATTTAGGATTCAGGATAAAGGATTTAAAGAATTAATTCGACTGAATTATTTTTAATGATTGACCTGAGAAAAGGCGTGTATACAAGTGAAAATTTGAGCTTTCCCCATGCATGACATCCATATGAGATACGATTAGGATCTAGATATGATGCCGATCTTTAAGAATGTAAATTGATTCAGCTTATTACGTTTTAGGCATTGTCACAAGACTAGCGTCCTGGGTATGACAGTAAACTACACCCGCGTCCTGGGTAAGACGATAAACTACGTCCAGCAGCAAGGCCTCTGTTCAGGAGGCTTTGAGGAGCGTGGAACTATCTCTTAATTGCTGGTGTTCCCAGGTTCATCCTGATCCGGGGCGGTAGCACCTGTTAGGGTCCCAGCTATGGGCAAAGAGTTAACCCCCAGACTGTGGTCAAAACACTATGAAAGTGTAAAAATATGTTTTAATACCAGAAATATTTGTAAAAAAACAAAAAAGATTATTACCAGCAATACATTTTTGGAAAAAAAATATAACCAGCAAAAAAAATTTTGTCGGCATTAAATAACCCATTGAGGTTGATATACCGTAAAACAAATCAAACCAAACCAAACCAATAGATAGATAGAAAGAAAGAAAATATAACCAGCAATAAAAATCTTGTCGGCATTAAATAACCTATTAAGGTTGATATACCGTAAAACAACAAACCAAACCAATAGATAGATAGATAGATAGATAGATAGATAGATAGATAGATATTAGGTTGGTGCAAAAATAATGACGTAATAATGTAGTTTTTTGACGTTAAAAAATACATCAAAAAACGACATTATTACGTCATTATTTTTGCACCAATCTAATAGAAAGAAAATATAATCAGCAATAAAAATCTTGTCGGGATTAGATAACCCATTGAGGTGTTGATATGCCGTAAAAACAAAACAAACCAATCGAAACCACAAGACCAAACTACAGTGTATTCTAATTTCCTTATCTGCCATGCTAAATTTGTTATTAGTGTAATTTATAATCATTTCACCCTAAACATAATATTAATGTCATTAAAAAGAAAGGTGCTATTGGAAGTGAAAGAGAACGAAAAAGATATTTAGAAGGATCCGGAAATGTAATCCTAAACAGGAAACAAGGGATAAACAAAGCCCAGGGGGAGTGTGAACGGGGCGATAGTCGAGATTGTTTATTCCTAAAAAGGAAAAATAAATAAAAACTAAATAGCAATTAAAGTATGAAGTTGAGGTAAACTTTAGAAGGAACCGGAAACCCAATCTTAAACACGAAGCAAAATATAAATTTTGGCCTGTAGTGAGTAGCACGCGGGCGCGGACACACACACAAACACACACACACACACACACACACACACACATATATATATATATGTGAAAAGTGTGTGTGTGTGTGTATATATATATATATATATATATATATATAATTATTTATTTATTAAATTAACTTATTAGAAAGCGCTCACTATCATAGATTGTGCTGCATTGTGTGTGTGTATATGTATATTATATATATATAATATAATCATTATATACAAAAAGTAGATTAGTAAAGTTAATGATATAAAATTTTATATCATTAACTTTACTAATCTATTTTTTTGTATGAACGATTCATTCTAATATAAATTGAACTGCACCACATATTTGTATATATATATATATATATATATATATATATATATATATATATATATATATATATTTTTTTTTGATTATGCGTACGCACATATTTTATGTATATTTTTGTAGGAAGTGATAATCTCAAGTTGATATCACAAAGCATTCAGCACTCGAGAAGATAAAAAATAAATCAGAGACGCCCCGTAAAACAGTTAGCGACTACATTGCAACTTTGAACTCTTCAGGTAAGGCCCAACTAATTTCAAACTTTATTTTTAGTTTTATTTTATTTATTTTTTTCTATCGAGATTTAATGAAAAAGCAAATCTTGTATGAAATCTTACGGAAAGAAAGGAAGTAATAATAAAAGAAATATTTTTTAAGAAGTGATATTTTCTTAAATAAAATAAGTAGTTAATTTTACGTGGGGGCTGTGGAATATTCTCGGCAGACTTCCAACTTCGAGACATTAAACTTCTTTTCAAAATCTTTCATTCATATACCGGGTTTAAATTCATTTTGGACTAAAATGAATACTTATTATTTCATTTCTTATTTTATTTGAATTTTATTTTTTGACTATTATTTTTTTCAACAGGAGTATTTTTTTTCAAAAGGAGTTGTTTTATTCCTGTACATGACTATAAACTACATCCGTAGCAAGGCCTCTGATCGGAAGATTGGAGGTTTTAAGGAGCGTGGTATCACCTCTTAATTGCTGTTTTTCCCAGGTCCATCCTGAACCGGGGCAGTAGCACCTGTTAAACATATATATATATATATATATATATATATATATATAAATTACCAATCAATGTACATGAAAGAACACTTTCATGAGATTAATCTATATAATATCCGACAATTTCTTAAGTTCACCATAAATAACGCATATCATTAAGCGATATCAAATAATTATTTTCACATAAACATACATAGTAATTTTCCAAGCTCAGCTCAGATGTGGCACAAGGCCAAAAGTATTGTGTACCCAGTGAGGATCGAACTTACTACTCAGTCATAATTGTGCTAGCCAGAGAAGCTTGCTAACCATTACACCACATAAGCATATATATGTGCAGCGATTGTCTATCAAGTACCACGTAGTCATTCTTA